TGTCAATATTTTTTTTCACGCTTGCATGTTAAAAACTCATGGAGACATTAATCCAAATAAATGACATATTTATCTAAATACTGCCGAGCTCCCCTGGCGCAAGTTTCATTCAAGAGGCTCTGCTTTCACTTCCAGCAACTTGTGTGCTAACTAAGTATTTAGGGGATTTTATACCTGCTGGGAATACACACAGTCCTTGGAATTTCTCTGAAAGAAGGACTGAGTCCTCGAAATCCGGAAGCATCCTTGACATTGGAACAGTCTTTGGCAGGGTCGATGACGTAGCGTCCTTCAAATTCAGTCGTTTGAGGATCCTATCTTGACTCTGAGAAACACCCAGTGAGTGAGCATGTGTGCAAGGAATGAATGGGTGAGAAAGAAACTTACAGCCTGAGCATGAAAAGTATTGTCTTCCTGACTGAACCTTCACTGGAGCCTCATTATTGTACAGCTTTTTAAGTTGAAAGTTAAAGTTAAAGTACACAGGCTCATTTTCTGGCATTCTTTGTCTTTGCAACATCAAATAAGACACCACTACAACATACTGAATTATTACATCCCTGTGAGTTGTTTAACAGGTATTCAGTCTCTCATGCTGCCATATGACTGTATGGAGAAGTGTAACCGACTGGTTGGCTAACCCCAGAGTTCTCGAACCTCAGAGATAAATAATTAGATAGAACTGATTTCATGCAGAAACAAATTCATGTAAACTAAAGCTTAAAGGTGCCCTGCGGAGTTTTCTTGTAAATAAACAAATGTTGTATTTACATTCAGTGTTTTCTAACTAAAACCCATTGTGTGTATCCTTTAACCCACTAAAACAGTTACAAAGCTGATTTTTCTGTGTTTGAATCCTGCATTGTTTGCATCCATGTTTATTTGCTAGCAGTCCTTTTCTTCCTTGCCATTGCTCGCTCATTGCTGCAAACTGCATTTCTTTGCTGTGTTTACATTGGAGACAATGGAGGCATGAGGAGAGATGTGTAAGAAGTGTGTCAGTTGCATTGGTGCATTTTGGAGCTGCATGTTGGTAAAGAAAACTGTGTAAAGAGTGAAGAGTGAACTCAGCACAGAGAGATGCATGTCAGACAGATAGTCCTGTTGGTTGCCGTAGTTTAAAAGTGGCTGTTAAAGGCTTTGAACAATCCTCCTGGCCTCAGCAAGTCTTGAGAGGACAGAAAAATATTCGTCTGAATGAAATAAAGATGGAAAAGGCAGACACCTCATCAGGTTTCATGGACAGAGGGCAGCGTGAGGCCAACAACATGTCAGTCTGACGAGAAGAGAGAGAGAGACAGAGATTATGTCAACAACTAGCGAACCAATGGGGTGCTCTGTGAAACAAGAGGCCGGTAGAATGGCCTGAATATGAATCGACATGTTTCAAATCACAGACTTGATGTAGCGCGAGTGAAGTAAAGTGCACAGAGAGGACATGAAAAAGGAGAGAGGAGGAGAGGGAGCTTGCTAGCGTCATGGATCGCTCTCACTAATAAACCTTGACTGACATTAAAAGGCTGTACCCAATTACTGGATGGTATCCCAGCCCTCACACAGACTCACACACACAAACACACATGTTCTATGTGCAGATGTGAACACACACACGGTTAGATTGTTCTGGGTCTTGGAAGGTAGGTTACTGATATTTTTCAATCAAGGCTGTTGATATTTTGCCAATATTTTGTGCCCATTATCATTTTTTGTCCATATCCGTGCCAAAATAAAACTGAACTACACCAGACAAATTTCTAAACACACATAAGACAGATGCCAGTGAATGTAATGGTCTGTGTTTTAAAGGCCGTGTCATGTTGACTGGGCCTGTTGCCGGTCTGACCAACATACTTTCACATTCCAAAACAAAAACACACGGGTCATCTCTCCCTCCAACCTCTTCTGCTTGTCCAGAGGCCCCAGCCTCCCTGTTCCGTCCATCACAAACACCCAGGGGAGAGCTGCCGAGGCTGCTGCATTTCTGACTGACAGACGGCCCATCAGCGTATGTGCCTGTGTTGTTGTGTGTGAGATCAGTTGGCTTTCTCTGCTCTGTGGATCTTTGATATGGGTTGTTTTTCTGCTATTTGCCACAGTCTTGGCTCACACTGGCTTTCATGTCTTTATTTTTCCTGTTTACTCTGTGAGTTGCTGGTGTGAGCTTTCAGTTGGTCTGCTCTGGCTTGCTTCACATTTTTGATCAACGTGAAAATTTGTGGTGCTTTACCACTAGCTTTAGGGTTTCACCTAATATGGAAGGATGTGTGTGTGTGTGTGTGTGTGTGTGTGTGTGTGTGTGTATAAGAGCGTGTGGGGAAAGGTTTGTAGATTTGCAAGTATGTGCAGAGACCGTGTAGATTCCAGAGCTGAGGTGAGAGCCAAGTCTAATGCTATAAATCCAGAGGGAAACAAAGGAAACGAGAGGGAGCTTAACGCTGTGTTCACACTACAAGTGTCAACCCAACAGCACGACCAGCTACATTATCGATGAGTTGTCGTTGAAGTGTTGTTTGAGTGCTTATTAGTAGTTACGTCATCACAGGCTTGTGTTTGTCTGCTAACTGCCACAAAGCACCTCAGGGGATGCAGATGGAGATGCATTGGATGCAGTGCGATGCAGTATAGTATCAGTATCAGCAAACTTCTGCAGCAACAAATGTCACATGTCAGTTTGTAGCGTCAAGTCACCGGCTTTCATTGAAAATGACGTGTAGCCTGCTGCTATGTCACTTGTAGTGTGAACACACAGTATTAGACTCTGAGATAAGGCTTTTATCTGTAGTCTGGCAGTGAAGGTGTCAAAGTTCACACACACATATTCACATATGTATCACATAGACAATACACTATACAAGTTTATTGGATCATGTCAGCAGGCTTACGTTAGCATTTAGCTCAGAGAACTGCTGTGCCTGAGTGCAGCCTCACAGAGCAGCTAGTTTAGTGTTGTTAACTTGCCTGTATCAATTATTGAAACCATATCCTGTTTTAAACTTGGAAATAAAAGTTACTCTTGGTACATATTGGACTAACACACACACATTTTCTCATCTACCTTCACTAACCTTTCAGTAAAAGAAACAGTTTAGACATCTTATCGAAGAGAACAGAGGGCATTTAATTATGTCAATATTGCCCGATCACATTTCTGTGAAACACTGGATTTGACAAGAAGAAATACTTCATCAATCCCTGAGGAAAAATTCAGTCTTTCCACTTGTATACACACAGCCCTGAAATATACACACATTCACAAACAGGATCTGATATCAGAGTGAGGGGGCTGCCTATGGATGGGTGCCCCAAGCTGTTGGGAGTTTGTTGCCTTGCTCAGGGGCACCTTGGCAGTGCCTAGGAGGTGAACTAGCACCTCTTCAGCTACCAGTCCACACTCCATATTTTGGCCCCGACAGGGACTTGAGCCAACAATCCTCCAGTTCCCAACCCAAGTCCCTATGGACTGAGATACTACCGCCCAGTATTTATCAGTTGTAGCCTACTGCAAATAGTCATCTACAAAAT